GCAGGCAGTAGAGCACTTCTAATTCAAAATCATCATCCCACTAGCTTCTAAAACCTCCCCTTTCAATAATGTTACTTTGTGTGTAGTTTCCAGGAAGAACCCTACTTAGCTTTTACCTAATATAGCAGAATAATTAATGATTCTGAAATAATAGGGGATTACCGTCTTTCCTTTTCCCCCTTTAGTCTGCCTGTCCCCTCCCACAAAGTGCTTAACCTTGGATATACATTAGAATCACTTGGAGAGCTGAAAGAAAAGAAGACAATGCCCCTTGGCCAAAACTATCAGGCTTCGTAAGGAGGGGCCCAGATACTGATAGAATATAAAAAGCTTCCCAATGGTTCTAATATACTTTATTAACTCTAGGTGCCTAGGGCTGGGTGAAAGAGAAATTGTCTATTCTATGATGTTCCTTAGAGAAACAGACAGGACACAACTAAAAATATTTGGGATAAATGGTTTTACTCTCAGACAAAGAATTTAAGAGATGAGAAAGAGGCCATGATTGTGGTAAATATGGATAGACTGGGATTTATCCTGGCAGAAATTTCCTTCCGTCGTGAAGCAGAGTGACTCCTGTGTCTCCTAACCTAGCCCGAAGGAATTGTTGGAGCCGAAGGGTCACAAATTGAATGATTTGGTGAGCCCATTATTGAATATTAGATGGAGGAGGGAAAGAAGACTAGGACGCTCTGTTGATGACTAAGTGGATAGATAGCACCAAGGACCCACTGCCTATACCCTGACACCTGAATCCCCATCCCCAAAGACTTAAATGCAAACTCTCTGGGAGAGAGAGGCACTTCATAATTAAGCCGTACCACTGACAACATAAGAACATTCAAGAGAATTTTATATTGGATTATAAAAAAGATAGATAGGGGCCTCCCTGGTGGCGCAGTGGGTTAAGCACCGTGCTGTGAAGCTGTCTGCAGCCTCAACTGTGCAGGTTCGATCCTGGCCGGCCTGCGGGAATCCCACATGGTGGTGCAGCAGACCTCTCCTGTCGCATCCCTGCTCCCCTCAGCAGTGTATTTCTGTCATCTGACTGAGACACAGGGCAAGCTAGGGTTATTAGGCAGTTTCAGGGACAGTGCAGGAGGGGACCTCTGAAGAATTTAGGGAGGCTTCAGAGATAAGGACAACCAAGGGAATGTAACCAACTCCATTAGGAAAAACAAACATCCCAGGACCACGGACAATATTAATACTGTTACCGATGGTCCTGGTTTTCTTCAGGTGAGAAAGGGAGGTGGAGACTAGAGAAATGGAGAGTGGTTTAATTTATGGACAACTTAGAAGGGCAGCTGTTTAACTTCAATGTAGAGATGCTCACCCGGAGGACTAGGCCATAAAGATAAAGTGACAAGCATGACAAATGGGGAAAGGGAAAGCTGTTAGATAAGGAATGTGAAATTCCCCCACTTAGTAAGTGTGAGACCCTCTGGGAGTTAACCAATCAGGGAGAGAGAGAGTGAAATTTAAACATAATGAGGGAGAAAAAGTATATATTGCCAAGGTAATATCCCGTACTGGCTCATCTTGGCCCCTCCCAGGTACCTTATACCTGGGAGTCTTTCTTCTTTGTCTCTTTTCTTCCTAAATAAACTCTTCTTTCAAAGGCAAGATTTGTCTCTCTCTGCTTACTTACTTCAAAAGGTCTGTGAATTCCTTTCTATGGTTTTCGCGAGACAAGAACTCGTGGTAAAGCGGTGGCAGTTGTTACACACACCGGCATCATGACTGTTCTGCTCCTCACTCTGGTGAATCCTCTCACCCTCCCGGGCCTCTGGCCTGTACCCCAGCTCTTGTATAAAAATAAATAAATCTTTAAAAAAAAAAAGATAGATTCCTTGCCAACTTGGGTTAAGATTATACTGCCAACTTGAGACCCATTATACTGGCAAAAATTAAAATGTTAGCCCTTCAGATGTACTGTATTGGTACTAAAAATATGTTTTTCTTGCTACTGCCTGATGCCTGCAGCCCATCGCTGGCTGGTGGCCTGCAAAAGGACGCAGTAGACATGGAACTTGGGCTTGATACAGGGTATAGACTCAACTCGCTCTTCACCTCGAATGGCCAGACAGACTTTCCCACACGAAGATTTTAATCTAGTTAAATAAAAAATAAAAACCTACCCTTAAAATAACTTGTCCTTCAAATCATGAGGTCAAGGGGCCTCCCTGGTGGCACAAGAGGTTAAGATGCAGCACTATGAAGCTATCCACAGCCACTGCAGCGTGAGTTCAATTCCCAGCCAGGGAGGTGACCTACATGGAGGAGCAGACCTCTCCTGACTCGCCCACTGCTCCCCTCAGCAGTGTATTTTAGTCAATCCGCCTGTTCTGTTCCCCACTCTGTCTGTGGTGAATCCTCTCACCCCCCACACCTCTGGCCTGTACCCCAGTTGTTGTATTCATTAATAAATAATTTTTTCATTATTCCAGTCATCCCTTGTTCTGACCAGGATGTGGTAGATGGTTGTTGTGTTCGAATTGCAGGACATAAGACATAGTGATGGAGTTCAGAGCATGAATGAAGCTGTATCATGAAAGTAATGCAGATATTTGAGAAAGGCCAAGGACAGCAGTTATCAGAGGAGACTATTATTAGGGGGTATCTGAGCACTGAGCTCACCTCATTGGGGGTAGATGGACTCCTGTGAAGAAACAACGTCATGACCTCCTTTCTGTCCCTTCCTTGACAAAGAAAGGGTCTAACTGAATTATAAACTTTAATGCAATTATTTACTCAGGGATTGAATTAATTATTTTGGTGATACAGGCCCAACAGAGGAAACCCTTGGCACCCACCCTGGATCCAGATACCCATCTGGTCACATATCAGCCTGTGTAGGGCCACCCATAGAGACCAGCTGTTGGACAGGTCAGTATCAGAGGTTCTCCTGTGGGCAGATGAGGTCCTCCTGTTTGGGATGCTCATCCTCCACCCTGGAGGAACATGAAGGAAGCCATCAAGAGCAAGGTAAGGAAGAAAAGGCTGTACTTTCTGGGAAGTTGGAAGCAGTGGTTAAAGGTGACAGTGCTAAATAGAACTTCCTGCTGTCAGTGGAATTATCTACCTACCACTGAGCAGCATTTCCAATTATATCTTGACTACAGCAAAGAATGGTGGTGCCACCTATTCCTCTGTGGTTTGAAATCTCCCAACCCTAGGGCTGAATAGGTAAAGGTAGTGAAACAAAGGGCACATGCACTACAAGCCTCCCTCCACCCCCAAATATTTTATGTCCCTAGGCAGTGGGATGGCCCCTAGCACCATAAAATGCTGAGCTAGTTTAGAAGCCATCTAAGCAATAAAAGAGAAAGTGGTGCTTTTTTCTCAAATCAGACCAGTACTACTAATAATAGTGTTTGTTGGTGAGTTGAGTAGAGCATGGCAAAGTTCAGCAGCTTAAGCAGCATTTAGGGGTCAAAGCCACTATGTAGGGCATCAGACCCTTCTAGTACGTTATAAATGTTCCTTCTTGGATTTGAGGCTCAGTTCCCAGAGGTAGGAACAGCTATGGATGGGCTTCTTGGCTGGTTCTTGAACGGTTCAGAAGCTGAAACTGTCCCAGTAGTGGAGGGATTGCTTGAGTGACAACTAAACTTATATCCACGATTACAACACAAATCTGAATTTCCTATGGAGGCTAAGGAGTTTGTAATGGTTCAGAGTCCTGGCTGTCCTTTAGGAAGGTGTATTGCATTAGAATGCAGTGACTTACAAAAAATTTAAGTGGAGGGCCTCCTCTGGTGGAGCAGCAGTTGAGCACTGGGCTGCGAAGCTGCCCGCAGCCTCTGCAGCGCCGGTTCGATCCCCGGTCGCCAGGCGAGGGTCCCACATGGCGCACAGACCTCTCCTGCCATGCCCACTGCTCCCCTCAGCAGTGTATTTCGTCAGTCTGCCTGTTCTGTTCCCCGCTCTGGCTCTGGTGAATTCTCTCGCCCTCCAGCGCTTCTGACTGTACCCAGTGCTTGTATAAATAAATAAAATAAACCTTAAAAAAAAAAGTTTAAGTGGAGCTTAATGGAAGTTTTAGTTGAGAAGAGCTACAGGAATAAATTGTGTTCCTAGGTAGAGCCACCTGGGCACTGCTGGCGAGAGGTCAGAGGGCAGTATGACCACATGCATGGTGGTTTGGCTGGAGGAAGGAGACAGGGTTATAATTATCTCCAAGCAGTGCAGGAATGTTTTGCTGCTTCTGCCCTCTCCTTGCCCTGGAAGCTTCTCCCTCAGTATTCCTCTGAGAAGGGTTCAGTTGCCTCAGTTTGGAAAAGATACGGTGGAGAAGTGGGCTTGGACCTAGAATATAGGTAGCCTCTCACTGTTCTTCGCCTAAGGGCATGGAATGACTAACTCTTGCAAGTATGCCTCCTTCCTTGTTTTAGCAAATTCTTCCAGGAGGGGGCAGCATTAAGTTGCAAGTAGAAACTAAACTTGGCTCTATCCTCTTGAGAAGCCCAGTAAGGAATAAATGAAGGTTCAGACTTCCTTTAAAAACTGAGCAACAATAAATAACTAGCTTACCCTCTGGAATTTTAATTGTTATAATTAAATTTTTTGAAAGTGAAAAAGCACCTCTCGGTCACACAACAGAGTACATAAATAAATGTGTTGTTACCAGTAAGGGCGGGGGCGGAGTGGGGGCAGGTTGCGGGGGGCGGGGGGGGGGGGTAGGGGGGGGTAGGCGGAGGATGGGGTAGGCGGGGGGTGGGGAGACTGACTTCCTGGGCCTCTCTGATGGCGCAGGGGTTAAAGACATACTGCTGTCAGGCTATCACCAGCCATTGCAGCTTGAGTTCATCTCTGCCCAGGGAGCTGACCCACATATGGTGCAGCAGACCTCTCCTGTCTCACCCGTTGCTTCCCTCAGCAGTGTATTTCAGTCAATTCACCGGTTCTGCTCCCCACTCTGTCTCTAGGGAATCCTCTCACACACACCCTCACCCTGCACCTCTGGCCTACACCCCAGTTCTTGTATGCATAAATAAATCAATCTTTTTTTAAAAAAAGATGATTTTAAAAAAGAAATAAAAACTGGCTTCCTAGGTAGGCCATGGCCTCTGAACAGAATTTAGAGGGAGGAGAGATCCACCCCCAGGTTTAATTACAGATTTAATTATTCCACAGTTAGGGTCACATGTCCTCCACCTAGGAAGCAAGGAGGGTTGGCCATGCTAACTTCTGCACCAGAATTATTTCAGCAATGAAAGCTGAAAGCACAAAGCAAGAATCACACCTGGTCTGAATCCCAGAAGGTATGTTACCTCTCCAGGTCAGTTCCCTGGGAGGCAGGGCTTTATTTAGTCCATTGCTCTATCTCTGTTTGCTAGAACACTCCCTGCACTTAGGCACACAGCAGACACTCAGTAAATAATCCTAGAATAACTGAGACTGCAATCAATCTTCTTTTACTCCTTTGCTTTCACCCCCACCACAACTCCACTATTTCTAACCCATCCACAGAACATCTGAATGACTTCCTGGCTCTAGTTCCCTTACCTGATTTACCTTAACATCAATCTGTCACTGCCCTGTTCTAATGCCTCAATCAAATTGCTATTATATTTGCCTATCTCATTATTGAAATAGCTCAAACCCGAGTTACAACCAATGTGGTGTTGTAAAGAATGGATTCTGAGGGACCTCCCTGGTGGCACAAGGGGTTAAGTCTCAGCACTATGAAGCTGTCCACAGCCACTGCAGCACAAATTCAATCCCTGGCCAGGGAGCCACATGGCACAGCAGATCTCTCCTGTCTCACTGGCTACTCCTCTCAGGAGTGTATTTCAGTCAACCTGCCTGTTCTGCTCCCTACTCTGTCTCTGGTGAATCCTCTCACCACCACCCCACCCCCTGCACCACTGTCTGACACCCCAGCTCTTGTATGCATGAATAAATAAAATTTAAAAAAATAATTGATTTCAGAACTGTACTGACAGAAGTTGGAAGCTAATTCTGACATGCACTAGCTCCAGACATGTGTAAGATGGGAATAAAAACACATACTTTTGTTTTGGGGGGACCGAAAGTAAGATTGAACTAAAGCTCCAGACATACAGAAGGCATTCAGTCAATCCTTTTTCTGTTTTTTCAATAATGTAATCCTTCACTGTCTAAATTTAACTTGTGTTACCCAGAGCACTTCAGCCTAACATAACATCCAGACACCGTGCCTTGGCTCCTGCAGCTCTCCCTACAGTTTACATATCATTCACAATCTTTAGCTGCTACTGTTCTATCACTCCTTTTATTTGCACCTAATCATGTCTTCTTGGATTATTTGATTTTTTTCTCAGATGTTTGCCTTAAAATGCCTCAAGGTCTAGCAAATGCTCTTTAAATCAGAATGAGGTTGGTTTTAGTTGGAAAAGATCACTAGCTGGGTCTGTTGATGAACTCTGCCCTTCCTGAAATACTGGTTTTCATGGGACATCTAGGTTGGCCACGTCCTTGGGCCTTTCCTTGAGTCATGTCAGAGATGAATGTCACACTCAAAGGTGCCAAGAGAAAGAAAGATGGCCTAATCCTTACCTGTCCGGCTACCTGGGAGTTGGAAGGATGCCCGCAGCTGTGCCAACAGCAATGTGGAGGTTGGAAAACCACTGGAAGCTAGGTCCCTGCACTCACTGGGAACATTCCCCAGGGTTCCGTTTTTGGCCTTCTCTGTTTACTCTGCACAACTCCTATCCTGCATTTCCTTTCTGATCTCTCTTTTGGGTCATCCAGATATAAAACCTCCATGACACGTCTCTCCTCCTTTCACCTCATCAAGCCTCCTTCCCCAGTAGAGCCTATTGCCATCCTGACTGACCTGTTTGGACTTCATGTTAAGTATGGAAAACCCAACAGCTTTGACACTCCTCCAGCCACACTGCTGTCCTAACCCCTGTACCTAAACATTCATGACCCTGGAACACCCTCCCCGAATTAAAATCTCACCAGTCCCATCAGGTCCCTCCTCCCCTGTGAGGTCTTCTCAGACCTGATTCCCTTAACACTGCCTGACACACTGCATAATCTCGCATTGCTTTATGACATTCCTGGGTACCCTTTACTATTCCTAGTGTCTTGCATCTCCAGATCAGACTGTAAGCCACTTGGAGGCACACACCATACCCTGTGACACTTATTTCCTGGTTCACAGCACGTGGCACCTGTCTGTTATCATTGGGTCCCCAATTATAAAAACAGTGCTTTGGTGATATCAAAGGGTGGACAGGACAAAATATGATGGTTTCCTAGAGTATCTCTGCAAAAGCTTTCAGATGTGGGGCTGGAGCCAATGAGACTTACACAGTGTCACTGAGCATTGCCACTCCACAGCAACCATCAACTGATGCTGAAAAAATAACGTTTTTTTTTTTTTAAGATTTATTTATGCATACAAGAACTGGGGTATAGGCCAGAGGTGCAGGTGGTGAGAGGATTCACCAGAGACAGAGTGGGGAACAGGAGGATCTACTGAGATACACAGCTGACGGGAGCAGCAGGCTGTGCCATGTGGGTCAGCTCCCTGGCCAGCTGGGATTAAACTGCTGTACTGCAATGGCTGCGGATAGCTTCATAGCGCTGCGAATTAACCCCTTGCACCACCAGAGAGGCTCAATACCTGGGTTTTCTGGAGTATGCTTTTGCTTGGAGGTAAAAATGTATGACTTGTGAAAATTTTTCTTTTTGTGGACCCTGAACTACCAGAGAAGCCAATTATTTACTGTCTTTTAAACTGCAGACTTGAGAGCACAGTCTCCGGTGGGATGTCAGGAGGGGAGAGAGATAGGCTTTTACTAGAAAGCTAAGGGATAGGGTAAGTTGATCTGATTCCTCATTTGGTTCTGGTTGGGGCTTCAGTTGTCTTTACTCCTGTGGTGGCCCCTCCACAATTGCACATTCCACCTGTACTTGGAGTCAACATGCCATCACGGCTGGGTCCCTTCACATACCATCACCAGGCAGGTGGACTCCAACTCATTTACAGAAATGGTCAGGCAGGGCACTTGGCCACTAAGGCCTGATGCTCCCCAAATGGCAGCCTGACAGGTGCAGTAAGTCCAGATTTGTAAAGTCCAACTCAGCCATTGCCTCTGGATCAGAGGCCATTTATCCCCAGCACACCCTGAGATGAGAAACACCTGCTTCTTCTGAGCAAAGCCTACGGAAACCTGAGCCTTTATGAAAACCATTCCCACCCATACAAACTGCCAAAGTGGGCAACTTTATGTCCTGTCCTCCTCTACCCTGCTTCCCCAGGACCACCTGACCTTGGCAGCCTCAGCCCCCCTTCATGCAGCACACCATGCTCAGGATCCCAGTGGCAAGTGTCACGTCCACGAAGCTTCCCCTTGCACGGACCACTCACCGGTAACCAATCCTACCTCATCTTTTTTATGCTACCTTTTCTAAGAGCAAACTTGCATTTCAATGAAATCCTGGAGGCAGAGAGCTTGCCTCATGCTTGTGTCCCTCGTGACAACCCACATGAAGGGATCACTCGATAAACATTGTCCGAGGCTCAGCCTTTCCCCAGGGGTGAAGGTGACTAGGTCACTTGACAGGCTTGGTGGGGGCACAGCCAGCCCAGAAGAGAGGTGGTACCCACCACTGAACAGCTGCACAGTCCCATCTGACCAGGACACAGGGCCAGTGCTCTCTCTATTTACCACTGTGTGATTTTAACTTCTCTGCATCAGTCCCCTAAGCAGTAAAATGAGGTTAACATTTGCTCTACTTATCTCCTAGGATCAGTGCGAGAGTCAAATGAGATAATGTACAGGAAAAGGCTTAATTAGCACCCTATACATAGCAGTTGGTGTTAGTTATGTATATGGAATTGAAAAGAGCTCACACAGGGCTGACTCTTGGCCCTAGGGCAAAGATGGCTTTTATTCCTGTCTTGGGGAAGCAGGGGGAGGGAAGCCTTCCCTTACACCAGCACCTCAGGAAGGGGTGGGTGTGCCCTAAGAGGATGGGCTAGAAGAGCCAGATGACAGTTCAGAAAGCTCCTGAATCTGCTTCCGGGCCCTGGGCTGCAGGGTGTGTTCAGTCACTCCCCTGGGTGACAGCTCCTGCATGAGTGAGGCACATGGAGGTATCTGCTGGTGTTCACGAAGAGGAAGAGGAGCAGGTACCCTGAGTGAGCGAGCAGAGGGCTGGGTTGGCCAACCCCACACCCACCACAGGCCCAGGATGAGAACTTTTCCTAAGGCCTGGCTGGTGGGACTCTTATCCCAAGAAGGGCCAGAAGGGCCCAGAGGCTTGCTCAGTTTGCCGGCTGGTCCTTTAAATGTCCATCTCAAACTGTGACTCTTCATCTGGGGAGAGAAAGGAGAAAGGCCAAGTGAGCAAAAGGGCAAATGGTAGGGCTGACACTTCAGAGGCTGGGGAGAGGAGTTAGTTTTCATTCTGCTGTTCCTACAAGAAGAGCAGAGGCCAGGTTTGTGCTAACAGGAGGATGCGGGGCGGACAGGATCACCCTGGAATTTCCATTAATAGCTGTGCTCTCCGCCTCAATCCTGAACTTTGTATTATTTTTATTCTTTTTAGCAAGAGTGAATGGTTACTTATGATTTTATATATGAGCAACTTCATAGAAAAATATTCCTGAAATATAAAATGTGTTTGAGCGTTGCTCCAACTTTTGACTTAGAAAATGGTAGCCTCACCTACTATGTATCCATCCAATGCCTATGGACTAGCCTGAGCCTGCCTTAAATCAGGACTTTGGGTGTTTTCACCACTCATGGCCCTCCCTCTCCTCTTTCCATTAGAATTTCTGAGGAATTCGTGCTGCAACAAGTTGCTTTTCTTTCTAATGGAATGACCCCCTTTACAATCTGCTGGGGAAGGCTGCCCTAGGTCTTCCACAGCCAGATGCCTGCTCTGGCCTTCACGGCAAGCAACTCCCTCCTCTTCTGTTTATATTTGCACAAATATGTGAGTCCAGGGGCAGAAGTCTTGACCTCTTATAGCCAGTTAAGCAAAAGGAGATATGATGTCCCGCCTTCCTCCTCATATTCTCTCAGTGTATGGAACTGTGGGGTGACAGCTGTCTGCCTGGGGCACCACTGGGCTAACCCTGCATGTCATGGCCAGAACAGCTCTAGAAACTGTGAAGAATGAGAGTGTGCAAGTGGTGGCAACTGATGACTCAACAATCTCAGGTGTTGACACCTACATCCTCAACTTTCAGTCTTTGGTTTCAGGGAAAAAGTTGGGTGGAGGGCACCAGGCAACCAACGGAGTGTATCTTCCCATCCTTTAATAAATAGTAGGGAACCATGGCACCTGGTGCTGTCCTTCATGCTGGTGTGTGCCCGATCCACCTGCTCCCTCTCACTGCTCCCCAAGTCTGAAAGGCGAGGCAACTGTTGGCTGTCATGGGCTGTGGGGTTCCCAAGGTAACTATGAGTCATATACCCTTCAGGCGCAGGGTAGATAGGTTCTGCTGCTGTCAGCAGTCAGCCCAGTCCGAGGTCCCAGCTGCTTCCTGTCTGCATTTGGTGCACTGCCTTGCAGGGGAAGGGTCAGTGGCTTCCATCTGACTCAGTTGTCTGCCAAAACTGACACCTCATGCTCTTGAGGGAGAGCTTAGACGCTCTGGCAAACCAGTCATAATATCACACAGAACGCATTCACACATACTTCTGCAGGGGTGGCTGCCCTGATGACGTGGATGGGGGGGCACACCAGGAAGGACCAAGCAACCCCACGTCAAACCTGCAGAGACAACTGGCTGCATTGTTTCTACCTGTCTCCACAAATAACTGGCTAATGGGGCAACAGCCTGACAGGAGGCATCTTGGAAGCCTTTCTGAGCCTGTAGACTGGGAAGTTCCTGGAGGACAAGTATACCATGTCTCTGATAAGTTGTTTCCTGCCCATCAACATGATAGGTGTGTCCATGTGTTACACAAAAGTGACACTGGTCCAGGCAGTTGCTGTGGGGCCTATCTCATTTCAAACATGCCCCCCACTAATTAGATTGCCTCATGACCCCAAATTACCTTTCCTGGGTTCCTGAATCCCCTTCATGAGCAAAGTGGTACCAATGAAATCCTACCCTCCCCATCCACCCCTGCCCATGCCTTCTGGACTGAGTTCCTCCACGATGGTAGGGAGGTCACCATCATTTTCCTGGAATCCCCAGTAGTGGATGGGACACACCCTCCCACAAACACATACACATTCCCTTCTCAACAAAGAGCCTGGCCAAGCATGCCACTCACTGCCCACTGGCTTCTCGTCTGGGCTGTTGCGCAGGTGGTTCTGACTGGCTTCTGTGGAGGGCTCATCACTGGCAGGGCTGGTAACCCCGGGAATGGTGGGCAAATCCCTCGGGGGTGTTTTGGTCACAGGTGAATTCCTACACTCCATCAGGAACTTCCGGTCGTAGATGATCCTGGTCCCTGGAAGGAACAGGGACACTGGTAAAGCCATCTTGAACCCCCTCCCTGCTCATTTTTCTGTGTCTTTGAGGTGTGGTTGCAGCAGAGGCAGTGGATCTTCCTGCAAAGGTTGGACCAAAGAGGAGTAAAGTTTATTTAGGTGATTTGCAGCAGCCCAGGATCCTGCTGCCTCAGAACTGCAGAGCTCTGTGCATGCACAAAAGAGCTCTGTTCTTTTGCTGCAAAACTCAACTTAGCTCATCAGTGTTCAGTCCTATTGCTTGTGACGATCATAGAGGACAGTGGAGAAAATACATTTATTATTCATTTTTCAATCCCCCTCCATACAGTACCATCATAGGATATCCAGAATCTTTAACTCCATTTTACATATGAGCCAACAGAAAAATGATTCCCTCAAACTAATAAAAATGAGAACTTTTCTGCCCGAGAGGAGAGGGGGATGAGGGTGGGATGCGGCATGGGAAGGAGTGACTCATGGTCTGCCTGCCCCACAGAAAGCGCTCCTGCAAAGCCTGTCTCGGTTGTGATGCTCCCCTGTGCCCTCAGCTCTGATGTGTCACTGCACTTCAGAGTGTCCTCAGCCTGCATTCCATTCATTTTCTTTTCACTCTCTTTTAGTAGAATTTTTCACTATCTTTAAATCATACCCAGTACCCAAGATCTTCATGGGAGAGCCACCTGTTCCATCAAATAACAATGAGTGTGATAATTCTCACAAGTTAGGTCCTGATTATCTCTGGGACCCTAGTAAGTATCAGTGATATATCCTTAACACCTCACCCTTTGCTGATTGCTCCTTTTCAACAAAGAGCAGACCTCAGGCGCAAAGCCTTCTGCAGGCAGTGGAATCTAGCTACAACTGAAAAACTGTCCTGTTGTCATATTTCTTTTATAGTCATCTTCTATTTAGGGCAAGTGAATCTGGTTTTCCATATATAGTAGTGATATCATCTCCTAATATATAGTAGGATTTAATTTAATATATAAATTATCATTGTAATATATAACAAAAAGTAATAATAAAAATGAAATTAGAAGGGAATGGTGACATAAAGAAAAATATTAAATATGTGTAAGTAAGTAGAAGGAAGACAAGGTATGGAAAACTGCAGCTGGAATATGAATGACCCAAGTTTAAAACCATAATTTTAAGATTCTTAAAGGTTTTAGGAATGTCTTTCCTTATTAGTAACCTTGAAATACCCCCTTCACCTAAGAGCATGCCACAGCTGAGATTCACTTCTTGATGTTTAGCACAGGCCTCTCTGTTAACTGGAGAGAACCCACTTTATATTTCTGAGCATGGGTTGAAGAGATTGGCTCCTCATGCTGGGTTGGGGTGGTGAAAGACAGAGAAATAGTGAGATACCTAAGCATGAACTTGGCCTGCTTGCATGTGTTGCCCTAGTCTGATGCTGGCCCTATCTGGGGGGGTCACCCAATCTTGCCATCCCCGTCCACTAGGCAATAATGTTGAAGTGGGGCAGCCCTGCTCACCTCGTGGGCTAAGGTTCACACTTCCTGTTTCTTAGTGTAGAACAAACAACTAGAGCTGACTTGCATGCTCTGCTACCAATCATCGGTGACCGCCCCCCCCCCACCCCGCTGGCCCCTCTCCTGCTTGGGCTTCAGTTTCCTCATTTGTAACATGAAGGGTTGTGCACTTCCTTCGCTGAGTGCCTGTGAGCCTAGTGGGTTAAAATGGAGAACACACTGCCCTCTTCTCAAGGAGGAAGATCCTAGCTGTAGATGGGACCACCTCCTATTTAAATTCTCAGAAAGGGCCTCCCTGGTGGCACAAGGGGTTAAGACGCAACCTTTGACGCTATCAAAAGCCACTGCAGCGCGAGTTCGATCCCCAGCCAGGAAGCTACCCACATAGTAGCTCTCTGACCCACAAGTCAGACCTCTCCTGACTTGCCTGCTGCTCTCCTCAGCAGTGTATTTCAGTAGATCTGCCGGTTCTGTTCCCCACTCTGTCTCTGGCAAATCCTCTCAACCCCCCACAACTCTGGCCTGTACCCATTCTTGTATGCATAAATAAATAAATCTTAAAAAAAAAAATCCTCGGGCCTCCCCGGTGGTGCAGCGGTTGAGCGCTGGGTTGCGAAGCTGCCGCGGCCTCTGCAGGGCTGGTTCGATCCCCGGCTGCTCCCCGGCCACTGGAGGAGGGTCCCACATGGCGCGCAGACGTCTCCTGCCGCCCGCTGCTCCCCTCAGCAGTGTACTTCGGTCCTTCTGCCTGTTCTGCTCCCCGCTCTGGCTCTGGTGAATTCTCTCACCCTCCCGCGCTTCTGACTGTACCCAGTGCTTGTATAAATAAATAAATTAATTAAAATCGTTTAAAAAAAAAAAATCCTCAGGTGAGGAGGCACCGCTCTGCAGGTGAGGTGCCTTACCTGCCTACCTCCTTGCCTCCCCTCACCTGTGCTTTTGTGTTGGGTGGTTCACCAGAGTAGGGAACCGACCCCACTGGAGCGGAATCTAGGAGTTGGAGATTCAACCATCTCAAAAAAGTTGTTTGGTCAGGAACTTTTTTTTTAGATTTATTTATTTATGCATACAAGAGCAAGGGTGTAGGCCAGAGGTGCAGGGAGTGGGGGTGGGGATGAGAGGATTCACCGGAGACAGAGTGAGGAGCAGAACAGGCAGATCTACTGAAATACACTGCTGAGGGGAGCAGCGGGCAAAACAGGAGAGGTCTGCTGTACTGTGTGGGTCACCTCCCTGGCCAGGGATTGAATGCATGCTGTAGTGGCTGTGGATAGCTTCATAGTGCTGACACTAACCCTCTTGTGCCACCAGGGAGGCTCATGGTCAGGAACTTCTGTGAAGGCTCTTTAAGTCACTAGGTTACAGCTCTTTTTTTTTTTAATTAAAAAATTTTTTTAAAAGATTTATTTATTTATGCAAAGACTTGGGGTGTAGGTCAGAGTTGTGAGGGGATGGTGGGAGGATTCACCAGAGACAGAGTGGGGAGCAGAACAGGCAGATCTGCTGAAATACACTGCTGAGGGGAGCAGCGGGTGAGACAGAAGAGGTCTGCTGCGCCATGTGGGTTAGCTCCCTAGCCAGGGATACAACTGGGAGTAGAAGTCAAGGTTCCCTCTTAAACTACCTGTGGAGAACTGAGGTTTTTTTCTAACTGGAATCCTTTTTAGATGCATCACCATGTATACATGTATGGGGAAAATGTTTTCAGATGGCAGCAAGAGTTCCCTGCTCCCTAGGTAGAAGGGTAGGAGCACCATGCCAGGAGGAGTACTCGTTCTTCCTATAGCCTAGTGACTAGTAACCTGGCTTCCCCACTTACTAGCTCTAAGAGCTATGTGCAAGTTATCACTTCAGCTCTGTGCCTGTTTCTTCTTCTGTAAAATGAGGATAATGACAGTGCCAACTTCAAAGATTATTGTGTGGAGATTGGAACTGAACCCTATGAACAAAGAAATCCTAGCCATTATTATCACCAGAAGCATTCAGTTCCATTCTATCAATTATATGGTCAAAGCTGGGGCCAATCAGAGGGGAGATGGGCAACTCTGAAGAGGGTCTTATGGGGAGGGGATGCAGAGCAAAAGGGTGTCCTTCATCCTTTTTTTTTTTTTTTAAAAGATTTATTTAGTTATACAAGACTGGAGTACAGACAGAGGCATGGGAAGGTGAGAGAATTCACCAGAGACAGAGCGGGGAGCAGAACAGGCAGATGGACCGAAGACACTGCTGAGGGGAGCAGCGGGTGAGGCAGGAGAGGTCTGCCATGCCATGTGGGGATCTCCCTGGATGGCCAGGAATTGAACCCGCTCTGTAGAGGCTGCGGACAGTCTCACAGCGCAGCAGTCAACCTGCTGCGCCACTGGGGAGGCCCACCTCCATCCTCTTTTATCCCACAGAAACACATTTCAAGAACTACCATGAGCTTGGGAGGCTTGGAGATAAGTGTTGTCTGGAACTTTGTACTCCAGATGTGCACCAAATACAAAAATGGTATTTTTTCCCTCAGGGAATGCTTTGTGGTAATGATGGTTTCTTGAAGGAACAAAGCAATGCAGACATGCCCCTGGAGTCTGGTTTCCTCTCCTGTAAATAAGGTGGTGGACTAGGCTCATTCCAACTATTTTTAAGACACCAAATACATGCCAGGCTTTATAAGCAATCTCCAGGGTCTGTTGTAGGACCCTGTTGTAAGACATACAGCTCTAATTTACTTCCATTTATTTTTAGTATCTCCTTGTTGGCACACACTTAATGTGGCACAAAGAGCCCAGGGCTTGCAGAAGTTCTGGGCTCAAACCTAGGCTCGCCATGTACCAGCTCAATACCAGGTCAGTTCATCGCTCAGCTCTGAAAGGCAGATACTAATCAAGTCCACACTTCACAGGAGCATCATGAAGATTAAATGAAAACATAGTTCACTATGGTGAACTTAGTGTGGTACATAGACACTTGGACTTATAATGATGCACACCTGAAACATGTTATAATGCAATGTTAGCTCAGTTAAAAAAAAAATTCAGATTTTTTTGTACGAGAATGAACTATGGTATCCATAACTGCTACTAAAGGAAAATTACTTGGGAGAACATACACTACCAGAGAAAGTCCAGGAAGCTCCTGGGAGGTGAAGGAACATTGATTTTTACCTTCTGCAGCTATTACAGTGCCAGGCAGGTGCTCAAAAACATGTGTTTGCATGAGTGAAGGATTAGAGTTCCAGGTAAGGTAGTCACTGGCTATCCTCACTGCCTGTCTGGGCACTCACAGCCTGTCATGCTGTTTCTCGGCCCCCTGGGGACCCCTGAATTCTCCCCATCCCAGAGGGAATTACCATTATCATCCTCAGATGGCAGATAGGAAACTGAGGGTCAGAAAGTCCATCTCATAGCCACCCACAGGCCCACTTAGCCTGTCTTGACTCTAATCCTAAACACTAACCTTTGTTTAAAATTAGCAGGGCAGATGGGGCCGTTGCGCCTTGCTCAGCACTGCCAGCTGGAGAA